GCACAACTGATACATTTTAATAGCTTTTATTATTTATAGATGGGTGACAGGGCTCTTCATTGGACCTGTCCTACTTGATTTTTGCATATTTCTTCTCAGCATGAGTAATAATTTCAATGCAGCCTGTTTAAAATAACACACACGTGTCTGTATTTTCCCATTGRCTTGACTGTAACATTAGGAAACAGATTAATTAAACAAGCCATGCCTGGGTCTTAACGCTCTCCCTCACACGTCGAGCTGATATCTGATCAATACCTGCCAGACTCAATCAGTCAATAATGGCCTCCGGTGTAACCCAGCTAGCCTCTCAGTTGCTGTTTCGAGCCCAGCTGCAGCACCTTGGGGGCTGATTTGTCCTCCAGCGTCTCTGTCATTTGTCTTTAGATTTGTCTCCCATCAGATAGCGCCAGACTCTCTGCGTGCCCTTACCCCCCACCCTTGTCAGGGATTTATGCTTGTCCCTGTTTCTCACTGAGGACACTGTAGGTCCATACTCCTTTGCACAGTCATTTAGTCTCATTCTCATTTTGTCACKGAGGGTGAGAAGGTCTTACATGTATCCAAAGCCCTGACATGTTGCTAAATTGTGTTTTTATTTCTTTTCAAAACCAGTGATCAATCTCCTCCAACGTAACAATTACAGTTTTATGGGGGATAAATATGATTCTTATAAAAATATTACATCATGTGTAATATTTAGTATACAACACATCTCTGTCTCCTCCTTTGCAGTTAGTTGGTTCTTTTAAATGTTCATTTGCTCATATGGATTTCAATGTCTCCCTCTATAGGTGACTGTCATGTCCAACAAGCTGTGAAGGAAACGAATTGTGCTCTTATCCTCAGATACATCCATTGTCACACATGGACCCATACACACACATGTTTGGTTTTCTATCCTCAATGGGACTTTACACTGAGTTCCATTCATTTACTGTTCATTTCTAAAGCTTAACCCTGACCCAAAAGTTATGTTCCATTATTAGGACCGGTCTTTGCTGGAATGCCAGAATTGGTCCTGAAAATAACAAATACAACCACACACACACACACACACACACACACACACACACACACACACACNCACACACACACACACACACACACACACACACACACACACACACACATCCTTGTTTTTCATCTTTTTCTATGGGCCAACCCTGACCCTTACCTGAAACCTGACCTCCAACCCAAAAACAGCATTTGAAATTTTGGAGTCCAGGCTTTGGACCCCAAAAGGAGTACCGGCAATGGTTCCCATCAAAGAATTTCTGTATATTTTTGGACAAATGGGCCTTCCCATGTAACAAATGCATGAACACACATGCACACAAACCCACACACAAACTATAAAGACAAAAATAAACCATTACAAGGCATCAGTCGTGCTTCAGTGCCATGTATTTACACAACCTTTTAGAACAAGGCCTGTCATGGCTGCTAATGACCAGAAATAAGCAACAATTCAGGATCATACAAATCCTTTTTACCACTTCTTAATCAACATATTTAACCTTCTACACTTTTAGGTGCAATAAAGTTTGTTATAATCTAATATGAAAGAGTTACCATTTCTAAAGGAGACAACACAATCTTTGCAAGCTTAGCATCATAGACCCATAAGATCCTCATTTATCACCTTAAAAGATCCACAAGTGCTCCAAGGATCAATATGTCAACATTTTGGTGACTGCATCACAGATGAAAGGTTAGCGTCTTTATCTTTAAGGACAATGCTGATTTGTCATTGTCTCAACCTGACATTTTCTCTAAAAGGTGCTTGTGAAGAAAAGAGGAAGCAGAAAATCAGTTTATAAAGCAACACATTTAACCGTCTAAAGGTCCTTTAACTTCATGGCAAGAACTGTTTTTGAGGACAAAAATCAACCACTGTACATACTTGCTGAAAATATACCATTTGTTAATATTTTGGTTCACCATAAACCAGACACTTTTAGTTCTACCTCAGTCTGAGATGAAAATATCTAAATTTGAATGACTTTTTTTAATCTCATTTAGTTTTTTTTTTTTTTTTTTCAAAACACCACAATTTAATTCTTTTAAAAATTCACAATTTTTCTAAGGCAATTTTTAAAAACATGCACTTTTCTTCCTTGGAATGCCCAAATGATCTTTTAGATTTTTCTTTTTACATTTTTTTTAAATTTTCTAATATTTTAGAAGACCCTCTGCCCACTAACTGGCCAGTGAGGTGGACATGTTTTCTGTCAAGCCTGCAAATGTCTTTGCATCTGAACTGAAACAATTTGGTTGGATGGGCCGAGCTCAGAAATGCAGCCTGCACAGAAAAGACAGATATTTATACCAGTGAAAATTACTGTAGTGCACTACTTAAACAAACTAAGCAAGAACTAAAATAGTCTTTGTTTCTGTAGTAAACGTAGCAATTTTACAGTGTCTCCCAAATGTGAAATCAGAGCACCACCTAGTGGGTTAGTATAAAAATCAAAACAGAGAAAGGGGAAAATATCATAACTAAAAATACTGTAACTGGAGTAGAGAAAATCCGCAATAAATCCAAACTTATCTTCTCTTCTTTTTTAAATCGGTTCAGTTCATTTATAGCACCAGTTTACAGCAAAAGTAATCTCAGGTTGCTCTAGGAAAATATTAATATTCATTATAAAGTGCCAGTTAGGTTATGTAAGGAAGCCAGCTGATTGCATTGAATCCTCACTAGGTCTTAATCACCTACCCTGAGCAGCACATTCATAACAGTAGAAAGAAAAGAAATCCTCATGTTTATAAAATCATTAGTTTTTTGTTGTGTAATTATTTCATCCCCTTGGGGAAAAGATTAAAATGAACCATTAAAAGGCAAAAAGCTATTATGACAGTCATGTTTTTCATGGGATGCAAACAACAACTCAATAGTGTTTTGCAAATAAACTTGGCACAAAAAGTAAGGAAATTTCTGTTTGGTATATTCTTACATATATTATTTGTTGTAACAATGTTCTTGACAGTAAATTTTAAACCAGGCATCTGATTGGCAGGGTACCAGAAGCTCAAAACYAGTCATTAATAATAACAACAAAATAAGCTGTTTGGCCGAGAAGATTTCATAAAATTCTCATTTGCACAACCCACATACTTAGGTCTACTGCTCATCGCACAAAAGCATGTTCCTTACAATTGTGGCAACTTAAAGGGGAAATTAATAGACTTATTTTCAAAAAGCATTGTTATATTTTTTTTGGAATTTTGCAAATATCCTTAATTTTGTGGATTTGGTATAAAATATTTTTTAAACTTAAACTTACTAGTTACTATTTATAACTCAAATTTAAGTTATATGCATGGTTTGGCAACACTTTGCCCTCCGGCTCCGTAGAGGGCAGCAGAGCTGGCTGTGAGGACCAGACACAGAAAGAGGAAGCAGAGACGTGGCACCCAGACGCAAAGAGGAAGGAATCCATTCAGGTTTATACGATGTCAGCCTCTGGAGCTGCTTTCCATGTCAACTGTCTAAATGACAGCGTTCAGCATTAACTAAAACCAACAGATCTGTAAGCGTTTCAGTGTGACAGGTAAATATTTATGTTTTCTAGCTTCCTTCAGCTTCCCCGGCTAGCTGCGTTAGCTGGCAAATGTTACCCAGACTGACAACTCCCTAGCTTAGCTTAGCAGCTAACTGGTATAGCGCTGATAAATGTTGGATTGTAGCCATCAGATGTGTTAAACAGGGCACACAAAGGAATATGGTTGTTTATTACACTCCTAAATGTTTTCGGTAACTTTCTAATTTGGTGAAAAGTTTTAAAATCTGTTGGAACAGCTTGGGTGCAAGTTGGGTCAAAGTAGCATGAGGAGTTAGCCCAGTGGTAACTTGTTTTGGTCAACTTTAGTCACTGTAGCCTAACATTTTACTGTTTGACTTAGGTAAAGTATGAGGGAGGTATAATAAAGTACCCTTGTTTTCAACATTATTATACCAACAAGCATCAGCCTTAAGAACAAACACTTTGGCTGGTGTTCAATTTGAATGTATTTTCTGAAGTACACTAAAAATGTATGACGTGTTTACTTGTTTATGTAACAACAAAACATGCATTTRAGTCATTTAGACTTTTCAAATAAACAAAAGAGAACTGAGTTTAAGTATGTCCAAAAAAATACCAACATTTCTTGCTATATTTCTCTAAAAATAAATAAACCGAAAACATGCAGTCTTGTTTGTGTTGAAACAAATGTTTTGTTTTTGTTGTTGTTTGTTTGGATAAAACTCAGACATGATCAGGTCATACAGTAGTCTTTATTTGTTTTCTGTAAAAAAAATTGCAGGTGATTAGTTTATATAGTTGCTTTTCTGTAATATTGTTTATGCTGTAGCTGTAWGTCCCATATCATCACACTTTCAGCTCCGTGCCTCTCTGTCTGAGCTGTAAGTTTATTGCTCTATTTACTTAATAAAATTGTCATTGACGAGTTACAAAATGGCAGCACAGTAGTGCAGGTTGTAGAGCTGCTGTCTCAGTGGGAATGTTGCAAGATTGAATCCTAGTCTGGGATCTTTCTGMGTGGAGGGTTTTCRKTGAATACACCAGTTTCCTCCCACAGACCAAAAACAATCATTGTTGGCTTATGTGGWAACTCTATATTGTCCCTAGGTTTGGTTGAGTGTGTGAATGTTTTGTTGTGTTTATGTGACCCTTTGATTGAATTTTGACCTGTCCATGGTGTCCCCCACCTCTCACACAGTGACGTAAGATTATGGGCATGGGCATCAGCGACTGGTGGGATGGAACCTAATCAAAGTTGGAAAATTTACTACACACAAAACAACATTTTTACAAAGACTTTAGTTTTCATAAATAAATACAGATTCTTTCTGTTTGGAGTTTTCTTCCTCTGCAACACAAAAGAGGCATTTAATTTTTTTATAGAATGGTTGTAATCTCAGTCCTCAGCCAGAGGACATGGTTTTGTCCAACTCTGTATAAAGCTYGTTTGTTTGTTTGTCCTCAACACAGCACACGTTGCTATGGGTCTCTGCAAGTGTCCAAAGAGAAAGGTGACCAATTTGTTCTGCTTCGAACACCGTGTGAACGTGTGCGAGCACTGCCTTGTTTCCAACCACAACAAGGTAAGTTTGGGGGGTGGGGGTGGGGGGGTTAGTGTCTCGTGATGTTTGTTTGTTCAAAGATTGCAGCTTTGCATTTATCTGTGTTTCAACTTGTGGCCTTTCAGTGTATTGTGCAGTCTTATCTGCAATGGCTTCAAGACAGCGACTACAACCCAAACTGTACTCTGTGCAACACTCCACTGAACACCCAGGACACAGTCAGACTCATCTGCTATGGTAAGATTTGTCTACAGTCATACTGATTTCATGTTTTCTAAAGCAAGAACTTCACCTGTTCAACACTGACATGTAACCTTTTTTTAATTTTTATCTATAGATGTGTTTCACTGGGCGTGTCTTAATAACTTGGCGTCTCGGCTGCCCCTCCACACGGCCCCAGCAGGGTATCAGTGCCCCACCTGCCAGGGTGCAGTCTTCCCCCCYTCTAATCTGGCCAGCCCCGTGGCTGATGTGCTGAAAGAGCAGCTGTCCTCTGTTAACTGGGCTCGGGCTGGGTTAGGCTTGCCACTGGTAATGAGCTGCTATTGTTAAGATCTTTATTGTAATTTAAAACAAAAGAACAGGAATATTAAGTAATGCTGAAACTTGTGATCTTTGGCAGATTGAAGACCCTGTTGGTGTCCTTGACGAGACGACGAATAACAGTGTCTCTGATTATACGGACTGGTCAGCGTTTGATGGTAAGCGTTACACTTTAAAGAAGTAGTTTGGCTATTTCAYCATGAGTTTCCAACTTTTAAATGGCCGATCTATTCCTTTAAGTAAGCTGTTTGTATTTCATGGGGTTTATTTCAAAACAATCACATTGAATTTCTTTGCAGCACAAGAAAAAAGTGACGTATACCCCAGTCACTCTTACAACACCAGCCTCAGCCCAACATCTGCGCCGCCTTCAGCACACGACGGAGGGCTTCACAAAAATGAAGATTCAGTTTTAAAGGAGCACTCTGTGGTRAACTTTACTGCTGCCGACCCCAGCTGTGACACAATTACGATACACACAGGTAGAGTCAAATGGTTTCTACTTTGTTTTYATTTAAGGGGAAACATCCATTCCTGCTTCTATATTGAAAACCACAGTTAKATGTTCTTCCTGTGTATGTGTGAGRTCCCACAGAKCAAAAATATTCATYTTAGGTTAACGAATAAATCTAAATTGTCCCTAGGTGTGGGTTAGAGTGTGATTGGGATATATCCATTTGCTTTGTCTATGTTCTTTTAATTTTCCGTGTCCTGGATGACCGAGAATCCACATAAATATATGATCGTAACATCTGTCTCGGACCGTATCCAGACTAAAGTTACTTCATTGATACTGGTATTTTTTTGGCTCTGATTTCACAACAAKTTCAGAATCAACATGCTAACATGTAACAMCTARATTTAGCTACTTCTGTAAACACAGAGTGGTGAATGTGATGTCATTTTCTGTGCATGTGGGTTGCATCAGGGCTAAAAAATTTGATTCTTGCAAAAGATCAGCGTGAATATAACCTTAGATTCGAAGAGATGGAAATTGGTCRAGGGTGTCCCTCGTCTCTTCCACAGCTGGAGATAGAAACCAGCTCCCTTCATGGAAGAATGGAGTAACACTGAATGGACTTTAGGTTTGTTTTGTGCACTGAGTGAAAACTGGTGGTTTTTGTGCAGCATCGTCCCCAAGAAAGATCTACGACACCCGGGACGCTGCTCACAGCTCTGTCACACAGATCGACTTTGATGATGACAAGTACCGGCGAAGACCAGCACTGAGTTGGTTTGCACAAATTTTAAAGTAAGTATGATGGTTACTGGCTTGGAATCTCTTCAGAGACTGGTTATATAAGTAACACATAATGATTTAATTTATTGGGTTTCTTTTGTTTTGTTTTTTCAGGAACAGGACAGGTGGGAAGCGGACGTCTCTGTCCTGGAAGCAGCGAGTCTTTGTGCTCCTTTTGGTCGGAGTTCTGGGATTCTTTACGTTGATAATTGTCATGGCTAAACTTGGACGTGCCTCAGCCGGCTCAGACCCCAATTTAGATCCTCTTCTTAACCCCAACATTCGCGTGGGCAAAAACTGATAACAAGATGTCATTCTTTCTTTTTGTTTGTTTGTTTTCCTTTTCCCTTCTTTTATCTGAGTGACGCAGAATAAACCACTGTAAAGTGGCCTGAAATTGGATCATCTAATACATGATCTGCCCAGCAGAGGGCGCTGCTCAGTCAAAGTTAAGAGGCTGGTTCTTCGCAACAGGCCGTGGAAGCATGTCAGAGGCCTTCAGACTGGAAAGAAACATTTCTTGCACTAATCAYAAACTCTGCTGTGAACCAGAAACTCCAACAGTGACCAAGACTGTGCAAATTCACAACTTACTACTGCTTTGGTGACGAGGGGGAAACGCTTAATTTAGCTAATAATTCTGAGGGATTTTTCTAAGTTAATGGATATTTTTGTTGTTTTTTTCCCGTAAATTTACCCAACTACATTGTTGGTGTTAAGAAAACAAGCAGAAGTGTCAGAATGTACATTTACACGGTTATAAAGTACGGTTATAAAGTAAGTCTTCTGCTGATGGGGCCTTTGTGCGTTTGTCCTTCACAGCAGATTACAACACAAAGTCAGTCGTGCTCTACACACACTACTACCCTACTCGGAGTGTCAGGATTACTTCCTCAAACTGAGTGCTTTGCTTTTAGGTTTGCCATATATACTGTGTTACATTTTCTTGATGTTTTTGACTGTCCATTAAATGGGGATAACACAAAAACAAAATCATTTCAGTTGTTTGTTCAGTTATAAGTGTTCTGCATCATTTAACAAAAATAAATAAATAAAAATAGTTAAATTCTCAATATGTACAGGATATACACAGGATTGAAATCACATTAGCCTCAGACCATTGTTGCAATAAAAATCAAACAGCATAAAAATTTTACTAAACTAATTGRAGAAATGTAACAGGACAAAGTGTGTGCAAATGTCACATATGCAGCAATGTGTATTTCCAGCGTGTGTAAAAAGTATATGTATTAATCCCCTGACTAACATAAAAAGTGATGTTTGCAGTGGGTTAACGTTGAATGAACACACAATTCTATAAAGTGAAGAATGCCACTCCGGTTTTTAGTTGAGCCCGGTTCAGCTTWAAAAACTAAATGTGAAATTTAATCTAATTAAACGCCTTAAATTTCTTGAAGTAATGCATATCGCCTGCTGCCTTTTATGCCAGAGTTTTAAACTAAAATCATTAAAGACAGCTGTGTAAAGATGTTTTGGTCAAAGCTTGTAAATGATAAGTTTGGTCTCGTGATATTGGTAGATCTTGCAAAATATGTTAGTCCTGTATATAGAACGCTTGGCTATTACTACACTAAATTTAGTTCAGTATCTGTAAAATTAGGTTAAAGTAATTTTTGTGTTGGAGGCCATCTTGAATTGGGTTGACCTCTAATGTACTTTCAGTGATTACTGTTGAGTTTCACTAAGTTCTGACCAGTGGTTCGTGAGCAAATTTGCTGACAGGCAGGATTGATTGTAAGAAAGCAAARGTTAATGAAAAATAATGTTTAGAGCTCACAGTATGTTATATTTAAATTAAATTAAAATTACTTGAATTTCATTTAAATTAAAATGATTTCAATTTCATTGGCTAATTTTGAACCCTGCACACCTCTACCTAGTGGTGTGATGCCGACATCTTGAGGTTAAAATAATCCCTGAAATAATCCTYTTACTTTTAAAGTAATTATGGGAGATATAGTTTATGGTTAATGCTGGCTTTGAAGCAGCACAAACATGACTTTGCAGCTTTCACGGACCACATAAAATGCTGCTGTGGACCACATTTGGCCTGTGGGCCTTAAGTTTGACACTTGATATAGCGGGAGCTGACCTCCCTCTAGAAAGGACCTGAGGCAGCCTACAGTTCAAATGCTCAGGCAGCACAGACAAGCAGACACATTTCTCCTCAGTCGCACCAACAAGCGTTTGCGGAAAATGTTTTGATTGACGCAAACCTCCTTCGTGACGAGAGCTGCGTTAATTTTCCATTCAMTAAAGTCACACGGTGTCCTCGTACTGATTCAAGAGTTTGTATTGTTATAAATACCAACCAGGCCGTACGGCTGACTCTCCCAACTTTCCATTGTGTTTGTCACAGCTGCGTAGTTTTACCATTGATCGTGAGAGAATCTGAGTCAGCTGGATGGATGCAGGGAAAGCTGCTGGCTATAATCTATTTTATACACATTGAATCACAAACAAATAAAAAAATCTGACATATCTGTACACTGCAAAAGCTTTGTTTTTGGAGGGTTTGATGTGTTTGTTTTTTTTGACACGTAAAAGGCTTTCTTCAATCTCATACCTGGAAATGTAACCATTTCTGATCATATCGGAGTTCGATGCTGTTCTCTGTAACTCTGAGTTATTAGCTTGTCCATTGTGCTGACATAATAGGGACATCCCTGTCAATAATTTGACTTTGTTGTCAACAAGCTGCACAGTCTTTGTTCATCAGCTTCACATACGTCTGTAATATGGCAAASAAAGGAGCAAAATTACCCTTTAAAATATATAATTACTCTGCAGTATTTTTTTTGTGAAGGAAGCTTTTCAGGCTCTGTTAAATTCTGACGTATGAAAGAATAGATTTTTTTTAGAATATTTTGAAAACTGAAGAGCACAAGAAGCTTGTGGGAGACCCACCTGCAGGCATGCCTCTCACTCAGGATGGAGCTCACCTCTYACCTTTACTTCTGCTCTCTTTACACCTCACTGAACAGGCCTTTGAACACATTGGGGTTTTTGAATCCAACTACATTTATCCTAATGGAGAAACAGAACAAAATGTAAAGACAAACCTGCAAAATAATATCTTCAAATAATTTTCCTGGATTCATTTATTTTTATTATGTCTTTATACTGACTGAAAAAAAAAAGTTTAGAACCTTTAAATAACTTAAGTTTAACTTTGCCTGATTTGTTTTATTTATTTATTTATTTATTTATTTATTTATTTATTTATTTATTTTGATTTCTTATTTTGTTGTTTGCTAAAAGGCAAAAGGTGCATCATAATTTGTGTGTTCTGTTTGTAAGCAATATTTCCCACAAACCACTGGGCAGATTTTACTAACACTCTCTCTCATATAAACTTATTAAATTTAAAGCCAACCAAATTCAATATGGCCACCACAGCTACAGTTTCTGACCTCAAACCCCCTCCAAAATTGTTACAACTCAGGCAGTTTGACAGATTAGCACAAGTTGGCTGTAATTGTGGCTGAAAGTTATCCCCAACATACTCTACTGTACATATGAGTGCTCCACGTTTTAACTGWAGGTGTCAATCCTCCATGTCTGTTAGAAAAATATCTGCAAAACATTACCCTTTTGTCAGCTTAGATTATTGCAAAAGTTTTGAAATTGTTTCAGTCCTTTAAATCTGAATTTAATAAAAATAATTTAAAGATGTTTCTTTTATTTATTTTTTCAATCAATGCATTAAATTACTAATTGAATAAATATTCATGTTTTAAATCTATCCTTGCAGAAACTGAATGGTTCAGTCTTCAGTGGGGTGGAGTTCAGAACAGCTGCTTGCAGCTAGCAGTCCTCTTGTTATTGGATGACACAGGAACATATTGATATGTCAGTGTTTAATGTTGCACATGTGCCTCGCTGCTCAATCAGATGGTGCATCACACAAAGAGAAACGGTCCATCTGAATAAGCTTCACGGCCCTGACAGGAACGTAAGTAAATATAAACTGATTCAATGTGAAGTAGGATAAAACAAGAAATTAAAATTGTATTTTTTTGCTAAGACTTGTATGGTTTAGTTATTTGTAACAAATACTGCTCTTTTTAAAACTTGTTTTCCCTGCACATCATATAACATTTTTCCTATTTATTAATCTTAGGTATGCCGATTTATTAATCTGCAGTATGTTGCTATAATTAATTATAGTTTAAAGGAAGATGCAGCAATCAGTTCTAGCCTAAATAATTACATTATTAGCATGCTTCTCCCAAGGTTTTTAGTGTTAGAATTTAAAGAGAAGTTTTAATTGTGTTGTTTTATTTGTACGGAAAAAAGAAAAAAATAATAATGATATTTTACCAGAAATCAACATTGTTTCAGTCTRGGGGAATTTTCAGCTGCCTCACCGGTTGATGAAGAAACATTTCAGATTTGAACATCAACAACAAAACAAGCCTGAAATGTGTGACCATCAAGAAAAAGGGTACAAGCACGAAAAGACCCCCAACTCTAAATCTCAACAAGCGATGCAGTCTCACTATAATCAAGGACATTGTTATCGTCATTACCATCATCATGCAGATGATAAGCATAATAAGTAAGTTTGTAATTTTGTTTACTGTGTTTATGAGACTTTTTGTTAGCTAGTTTAAATAATAGGGTCTAATAAATGTGACCAACTTTTTAACCAGAATCCATTCAACCGAGGACATCAGGGATCGTCAACCAAYTCATCAGAATCAGCGAGATTATGARAAGTCTCATCATCATCACCCTCATCATTGCCACCATAAGCTAAATAATTGCCACGATTCGGAAAGTACCAACACCTCCTTGTTATCATCATCTTCATCTGCAACATCCTCCTCCTCTACCTCATCTCTGTCTAARTCCTCATTCTCTTCATCTTTGTTGTCTTCCTCTTCTTCTACGGTCTCCTCCTCCTCCTCTAGTTTGTCCTCTGAGGACAGCAGTGAGTGTTCAGATAGATATCATCCCAGGAGGCCGCAGCATTCTCAGTCTTTTACTGACATTTCTGGGAAACACAAGTACTTCGAAGAAGATGACGACACAGCCCCATTGATAAATGCAAGAGGTCGTTTAAACAGGTCTTCTGCCAAGCAGAGAAGAGACACAGGGAAGTTCTCCCTCAATGGCCCCACCAAGGAGAATGGAAAGAAACATTCAAGCACTCATCAGCTGGGAAATGATGGAAGTTTCCGTAAAGCCAAATCCATGGATGATCTCACAACGCCTACAGACAAAGCAGGGGATGGAACAGAGAATGAGAGTGAACATGAGAGGAGCAAGAGTGAAGCGAGAGAAAATGTGTTAAGAGAGAAAATGAAGTTTTCTGCCTTCCTTAATGAGATCACACGGCAGGTGCTCAGTCCCATGAGGTTAAGCTCTCTTGGGGTTACAGATKCTCAAAGACCCCACAGTCCAGGGAGAGTCATATGTAAGTCCGGGGAGAAGGACATAGGCATTGATAAACCGAAACAATGGAAAAGTCAGCCTACCAGTCCGGATTCAATCAGCTCCAGCAAACATTCCCACTCTTCTCAGCTCTCCCGCTCTAAATCTTTCCACCATCACGAGCACCATTCAGCAAGCCCAGCCAGTAATGTGAAGCATAGGTCTAGAAGCTGTCACTCYTGCTCTCCAAGTCCGGAGCGTCTCTTGCATTTACCCCCTCATAAGCTGAGCCGCCACCGTCACAAAGAGGAGTGCAACAACCGAAGTCAGAGCCATCAGTACAGGAATCACCATCACCAGGGACACCACCACAATCCTGCCTATAAGAGAAGAGACCACCACAGTCCTGTTTACTACAGRGCGTCACATCTCCATAAAGACAAGCGTCACAAAGACCCCTACAGCCCCACTCGCCACGATAAGCATCACAGTGCAAGTCACTGTCATGTCCACCATGAATACCACCATAATGAACACACTCGTGACCTCAGAGATAACTGTGATTCAAATCATTACCATGATGACCACAACAATAACCATCCAACCTCATACCCAACAACACCGTGTCACTTTGACCATCGCAGCCCAACCAGCAACGATGGAACTCACCGAGGACTGGTACATCAGCACCACCATGGTGACCACCACAGAGAGGRTCATCAGCATCATCCAGATGATCAKCATCTTCATKATGAAAMCCATCACAGTCTAGGTCWTCACCAGCACCACAATGAAGCRSACCAACACCACTATGATGACCACAAAGAAGCAAGTCGCCATAACCACAGGGACCACCACAATCCATGCTACTGGCATCCTTCTCAGCACCACCACAGKAAATCTCAGGAATTTCACCACAGTCCAGGTCATCCCCATCTTCATGGAGACCACCAAAGTAAACATCACCCTAACTATAGAGATCAGCACAATGAYGCTTGCCACCATCATCACAGAGACCACCACAGTAAGCCTCACCCACATGGAGAACACCACAGAGACCTCCACAGTCCAACCCATTACCATCACAATGATCACCATCACAGCAAGACTCGTCACCATGACCATCACAATCTAGTCCATCACTATCGCAATAAAGCCTACCATCATCCRCGAGGAGACCAACCCACTGAGGTCCATCGCTGTCACCAAGAGGACCAACAAAGTGAGGTCCATCACAATGAAAACTACTACAATCAAGACCAGGAACATCGCCATGAAGATTACAACAACACAAGCCATTGCCAAGGCTGGCACCTTGAATCCCAMTCTCATTCGAAGCCCTGCAAACCCACCAATCATGACAATAACAGGCTTGGTAATGATCCTCTTCATTCTGCCGACAACCCAGCTTCACAGAGAAAACCTGAATCTCTTGTCAGCAAGAACTCAAGCAGCAACACCAACAGCTTCTCTCGTCAAGCTGAGGAACAGACCYGTTTCACCGGCCCATCAACACATGAAGTATGTAGTTACTTTAAAAAATATACCTCTGCGTATTTTCTCCCACCATTTGCAGCTTGTTCACAAAGAAATATTGACTAATGCTACTGCAAGGTTTTTTTTGTATGAGCTTCATTAACAAGTTATGTAACAATGCATTCCTCATTTGTTTTCCTATTGATTTCTGTGTGCACATGTGTGACATAGTGGACTATAGATCCTGTATTACAGAACAATAGATTAGTTATGATGCACAAGCCAAAAGTAATCAATTCAATTGCAAACTGATGCATGTTTTTTTTTTCCTGTTTCAATTTTTTTTCTATTGTTAGTTTTCTAAAATCTTTAGCTTTCTAATTAAAACGCTATCTCTTTGAATTATTGCTGATCAAACTCTTTTTCCACTCTTCATACAGGAAAAGACACACGAGTTAGGCAGAATCATGTAAGTGTAATTTTATTTTGGGGGTATTTGATGACTAAAAAAAGTATTATGTGTAGCTTTACAGCAACAAATAGTTAAAAGATTTGAAAATGAATTGATTAAAGGGGTAATATCATGTAAAATCAACTTTTTTGAGTTTTATATCATGTTATAATATTATCCTCTCATCAAAAACATGCCCAGAGTTTTGTTTTGACTCATTCATACATGTTTGAGAAATCCTGTAGTGTCCTGAGGCAGCAGGTAGGGGTGCAAAAACAACTGGTTGGGACTAGAACCACCTTTTAGGATCAGCTCCTCCTCTGGGCTGTGTCTCCAAGCTGAGCTTCCTCATCGCAAAAAACACACACCCACCCAGTCCTGTGCTGAAATGGGCGGGGCAGAAACAGAAGGAGGTTCTTAAAGAGACAGAGGCCAATTTCAAGGCGTTTAGAAACAGATATGATGAGAAGTCACATTTATTTTCTATTTAAACATGTAAACAACATTTTCATAACAACTGAAGGTGACATAGTTACAATTATAGCATTTAAATATATGCCTGAGTAACACATAATATTGCCCCTTTAAAACTTCATTTCATAATTTTTATTTGCCTTTGAAAATATATCTTCTGCTATAGGATTCWGCAGGACCAAAATGAAGGTCTGCACCAGAGTTTGTTGAAGACGGCGGTGCAGGTGGAGTGTTTGGGAGAAGAATTTATTAGCAGTCAAAAGCTTTTAGAGGCTGACCTCCAGAGGACACGTATGGAGCTCAGCAGCCTAATGGAGAAGTTTCAAAGGTACAAAATGCACTTTTGAGATTAAAAAYATGYATGTGTGTTTGGTAGATTATTTCTTTGTTGTTACAATMCTTCTTGGCATTAAATCTTATACAGTTAGAAAGCCTGGAAATTTCTCTTTTAAATGGTGCCACATTTGTAATCTGTCTTGTTTTAGACTCCAAGATGACTGCTCCTCCACACAACAGACCAATAATCTTCTAGAGAAAAAGCTTCACTCAATGGTGAGATAATGAATCACTGGCCCCGGTAAAACACATTAGGGTGTAGTGTGACATATTTAACTTTCTTTTGTTCTGAATATCTGTAAGGATGATGATTCTTGTGCTTTTCCTATTCAGCTTCAGAAAATGGAGGGGGAGCGTGAGAGGTTGAATCAGCGTATTTCAGAACTGACTGAGCAGCTCACAGATGCAACGATRGCCACCACAATGGAAGCAATAAATGTGAGATGTTTTACCTTCCTGTTTAAAATTCTACTTAACCACAGCACATGTAGCATGTTTTTTATCCATCCATCCATTTTTTTTGCCACTTACTGTATATGATACGGTGGCAGAGGCAGGTTCCAGGAGGGAAACCCAGACATCCCTCCCCCCACAGACACTCTTCAGCRCCTCCTTCAGGATCCCAAGGTGCTTCCAGGCCAGAGAGGGTATAAACTTAGCAGAAAAAGTAAGGAAATTAGTYTTTGGTAGGTTATTTCTTAATGACAATGCTTCTTGGCAATAAATCTTGTATTGGGCACCTGACTGGCAGCATCTGGGAGTATCAGAAGCTCAAAACKACCAACAGCAAAATAAGCTGTTTTGCAGACAAGATTTGGCAATTTTTTTTTATGAGCACAACCCACATAATCAGCTCTACTGCTCATCCCACAAACAAGTTCCTTACAAATGTGGGACCATTTAAAAGAGGAATGAACAGACTTTCTGACCATACTGTAGGTATAGGATTTGTAGCCAAGAAGCATTGTTACAACAAATAATCTYCAAAACACAATTTCCTTTCTTTTTGTGCTAAATTTCTATAAGTTTTGGGTCTGCCTTGGGGTCTCATCCCAGTGGAATGTATCCAAAATGTAGACAGAGTCTGTCAAGATTTGCTTGGGAGATTGAACCCCAGTGAGTGATGATGGGGAAAAAAGGTTGCAAACAAAGGTCCTGTTGTTTCCCRGTTCCAACACACCTGYTTTAGTGACTGAATTACCTCTTTAAGCTCTGTAGAAGCCTGTTAGTCACCCTGTCATGCAAACCAGGTGGGTTGAAGCAGAGGAGCCTCTGGATTCAACCTTCGAGGACCATGATTTGACACCTGTGGTATAGAGGAAGCTCAGCCACTTCTTTTCATAATGATTTATTTCTCATGACCAAAGATGAAAGTTGGACAATATAAGAACCTGGAAACCACAAGTGTTGCCTTTTGACTCGCTTCTGTCTTCACCATGACAYACTGGAGCAATGCCCTCATCACTGTGGAAGAGGCCTTTATCAGTTTATCTGTCCTCTGTGTTGTCTTTAGTGTTAGCCCCTGGTATGGTCTCCCATGACAGACCAATTCCACAGGAAGGGTCAGTTAAAACCAGTTTAAAAACTTTGACGAGACTACAACTTATTTGTCAAGGTACTTTGCACAGAAACGAGAAACTGAAGCACAGTCCTGGAGCCAGGCTCAAGTGGGATGATGATGCATGTTTGAGCTTTGGTTCCACTCACAAACTAAAAAATAGTAGCCAGCTGTCAAAGTTTTGAGCTGTTTGAGTCAGACGGTCAGATATGCTGATTCCTGGTGACACAAACTGTTTTTAAGTCATTCAMACATTTATTTTCATTTACATTTTGTGATAATCTGTTTCCTGTAGACCACTTCAATGCTCCACAAAAGCAGTCTTCATTCTCCTGACGATGCCCTCCTTCKGATGGTTCCTCCCATCACTCCTCCTCCAGCTCAGTTCATGGACAGCCACAACTATGGACAGGACAAAAGCTCTGGGCAGGAGCAGCCCTTGGGCTCTGTTCCAGAAGAGGAGGAATCYGACTGGTCTGAGGTGGGAGAGGAGACTCCGCGACTCCTGCTGACTGGATCAAGCAGAGGTCCAACATGGAGACGCCACGAAGCAGACGTGGACAAAGACTGCGAGTCGGGAAGTGAAGAACTTATCYGGAGACACTTCCCACGTCCGCTGCAGATCCCTCATCTCCAGTTCACCATTCACAATGAGTTCCTGCCTCCGGCTCAAACCACCTCCTGTCCGTCTGGCTTCAWTAATCGGTCTGACAGCAACACAGGTGGCATAGAGGAGATTTATATGACCACCACGAGTCCAAGCGTCAAGTCTGCCATCTTGATACGGTCTGCAAGCCTGGAGGAAATCTCCCTAACCCGCCACCTCATGCAAAAAGAGCTGCGAGGCACTGAGGCCATGATGAACCTTCATCACTCCGCAGACGAAGTGATGGAAGACTTGGACGATGAGATCATCCACCACTGGAACAGCGACAGGGACACAGTTATCAGGAGGCTGAAAAYAAGCACGGGGGCTGAGGCGGAGGGCAGCATGGCCGACCTGCGGTCAGCCGAGCAGATGCTCAACCACTTCATACACGATTCACCTGCCTGTGATGGGGCAGATCTGGGCCGAGCCGAGGCGCGTGGCTGGGCAGGAGGGATGCCAGGCAAGGTGCTGAATGTGGAGCGCACGCAGCTGTGAAGAACTGAAACTGAAAGGTTTTATTGTATTCCACAGRTGAAAATCCTCTCATTTGTCCATCCCTTAAAATAGATTAACAGTTAAAGTGAAAGCTTGGAACTTTGGAAGTGAGTTTCTGTAAAAACATTATGGAAAAATAAATTCTTACTCAATATAGACATCTCTATACAACTTCAGTTTGGAAAAATGCTGTTTTTATGTGTGTATAATGCAAAAAAACAAAAACAAAAGTCATCCATAAATTTGGGGGTATTATTCAGGGCAGTAAATTTTGACCGATTTTGTGCTAATGTACTACCACAATAAATTRCAATATTTTCTTGTTTATAGCTAAACTATTATGCCGTAGAGGGATAAATCATCATAAATTGTTTGTTTCCCTGAAATAATCGGTTCCCCCACCAGAGGGTACACTGCAAAAACTGGAAATTATGGATAGAACTGTACACAAGGATTCAATTTTTCTATGCTTTTCAACTCAAATCATTTGGAGATGGCATCATACTCGAATCGCATTATGCATACATACAGTAGTTGTAAAAATTGGATGCAAACCACCAGGCCATGTGAAACTGAAGCCAATCTAAATGTTTGTAGTGTTTGTGTAAACTGTTAGCAGGTRAGCCTGGTCAGAGTTCAACTCTCTTTCAGCAAACAGACTCCATCRTAAGAGCCATCATCAACATGTAAGATACTTATTGTTCATAACATTTCCATATATCCTTGCTTCCAAACATCTGAACTATCACTTTAATGAAAACAGTTGACACACAAAAGTAGAAATTTGAAATGTTATTGTCTGTTTCTTCTTCTTCTTCTTCTTCTTCTTCTTCTTCTTCTTCTTTACAAACTCTCACTGTCGCTGTTTCTGAATTGTTGGCAGTTCTTGTTTTCACAAAGAATAATACAACTCTATGACATTTTTCTCTTGAAGTTTAGAGATTAAAACAGAGGTTTCCTGCTGGTCAAAAAAGGATTTTATTTACRACCACAGAGAAGACTCTGTCACACTTTGACATTTTGGAAACTTTTGCCGACTTATGGAAGTTTTGTTCAGCAATAAGGTGTCTACGATGAAGATGGAGTAAACTACTGGAAGTCTCTTTTGGACGTACTGTAATAGTTAGATTGAATATACAACATTTATGAATAATTTATTCATAACAAAATTTTCACAAGTGGGAAAAAGTTGTCTAAAAAGTTATAGTGTGAAAGGGCCTTTAGCTACGTCAGTGCATTAATCTGACTAATAGTATGGACCCACACTTTTTAGTGGAGGTGTTTGAATGGCTCTTTGGTTTTTATGTGATCACATCAAAAACTGAACTTATTTTTTTGACTTTTTAAAATATGCATTAAATATACATATGTATGTATTATGTAACTATGTGAAAAGATTTTCTGAGCATTCATAAATGAAGTGTATATTATATAGTTTAGATATAGAGCATAACCTAAACTGCTATAAACAGAAATATTCATTGTTTTTCTACACTGTAACATCAAAGCTTTGCTCAGAACATCTGAAATCCCAATTTATGTGATTTATTGTGTRCACAACAATTTTACTAGATTCATTTTGATAATTGCTTTATTTCAAACAGTAAGAAATTTTTAATAAGAGATTTACTGAGACGAACCAGATGCTGACAGATACTGTATGTATACTTAAACATCCCCAGTTAAGATTCAGTTGAATATTTATTGTACAGATAAATGTGTAAATAGATACAGTTAAAATCCCAATATTCTCTCTTTACACAAAAATTCTCCTAAATATATTTTGTGTGAAAAATAATATGTATACTTAAAGAATTTGTCCATAGAAAGTCACAATATATTCTGCTGAATGAGTTTACGCTGCAGGTTTATGTTAAAAAAGGTCAACTTTCCTTTTGTAAAAGTATTTTCAGTCTGTGTGTTCAACTRATGACCATTTATTATCATCATTAGCTCTTAGGTTGTGCTTTTTTCCACTTATTGTAATGACTGACCTGCCAAAACAAATACTTCTGTACAGTTTGTTTCTGCTGCATTTAATAAAACAAATGAAATTGAAAAAACTGAACTGTATTTGCTGTATTTTTTAAAAATTCAATAACTTGTGAATTCTTCTTACAGGTAGTTCCTGTAACTGTATTATAACTTTATTTCGTAAAACAGAGGTTTTCACCTAAACTCGTTGATGTTTTCATAATAAGATACAGCTTAAGTCTTAACACAGCACTGAATTGTATTGACTTTCTTAAATTGCCTGCAAGTAGTATTTGTCTCTCTTAATTTCTTATTAGTATTATCAGATAATCAATAGTCTTTCTGTAGTCATGRTATCTTTACCAATAAAAACACCACATTTTATCTATGTAAAAGAAATCAATGACAGTTAAAGAATTTTGTTTTTCTTCAGATTTGCTGTTTTTCCTTATAAGTAGTGCTTGCAGACAGAATTATATATAGTTTAAAAATAAAATCTTGATGTTTCTAAATGCAGTATTTTRATTCTCATGACATTTTGAGTAATTATAAATTATTCAAGTTTACAGAAAGAAGCATTTGAAGTTTTGAGGATAAGTGTTGCAGAGATGAGGACTAATACGATCTGGTATCTTGCTGTCACTTTCAGTCAGGTTCAAGCCCGGCTGTGTGAGTAATGGATGCTGAGCAGACACTGGCCTGGATCCACAGGCCACTTTAATAGGATAGGTGGGCATTAGCASTAAGAAGCTTCCAGCATTCAGGTTTACCAAATCCAGTGTGCCAAATCCACTGCATGGCACTTGGGAAGGTGCACGGTGCTCAGCGGAGAGAACCGGGACTTTTCCAGCACTTTTTGGGGGTACACTAACAAGGTGAAGTTCACGTTAACGTCTGTTCATAAAAAGGTGTAAATTTAAATTCCAGTGTTAGAAAATGTTCAATTCAAGAATTTTAAAACTTGTTTTCCCATGTTTTTGTTTTGTTTTTCTTACAACGGTGTTATCAGTTAGTTTTGGGTTTTCTCAGACAGCTGGTGGGGATCTTTCAGAGTTTTGTGTTTTATTTGTGTCACCTTCATCATTAAGCCATTGGAGTCCTTCCTCTCACCTCTCCTCCTCGTCCTCCTCTCACAGACAGCAGCACAGCTTCGTCTCGCGTCGCGTCGTCGCTCTCCTTCCCCTCTTCCCCCGGTAAGACCTCGGACTCTCCCCGCTGCAGCCATGGTGGTCATGAAGATGAAGTTCCCCTTTCAGAAACGGGTGAAGCTAGCCCAGGGACTGTGGCTCCTCTCCTGGTGCGCCACAGTGGCCGGGGCCACGACCTTCACCCTGGGCTGCCTCCTGAAGACGGAGCTRCGCAGGAGAGCAGAGGTACAGGAAGTTCTCACGTGCTCCTTCACTTTGCTTTCTGCAAGTTGCATGAAAATAATGACATAGAAACAGCATCAAAAGTGAGTATTGTGAAATTGTTGCATCTGTTAGAAACTGTGGTTGTGTGTGTTGGTAAAAATATGACATTAATCAAAGCTGTACTGTTGGAATGAGATTTGTTGCAGAAAAAAAAGTATATACACTATATACTAT